GAAAAAAAGGAAACAAAATAATAGTTTTTTCTTGTCAGAATGATGTGCTAATTCAAGTATGTATTTGGCTTTATACAATCAATTAATTTTCCAAAAACAAATCGGTTTTTAGCACTAATGTTAAAAATCTATAAAATCGCTACGTAAATGAAATAATGATGCGTCTTTAGCTCAAAAGTGTATAATGTTCATACGGACAGACGGACATGTACATATATATCAATTCATTCCGTTATGCTAATTATATATGTATGCATGTACCTATTAGATGGGATTTGTCAGATCTTCTTTTGTCGTTTACATTAATGTGGCGTTTAAACTTTCTGAGTATACCAGAGGAGTATTATGGAGTATTTCTTAAACCATTCGTGTATAGGGTATAAAAAGCATGAATTGTACTCTACATTACATCCCGCATTTAAAATTCAGTTGAAATAATGACGCTCCCATTTCAATTTATGACTGCGTACGTACGTAGAATGTGTGCGTGTGTGTGTGTGTCTGGCTGTTTGTCTGTATCTATGAGATACAGATCTGCGTCCGCCTGTGCTATGATGGTATAGCAGAGTTTTCCATTGAAAATGAAATGAAATGAACTGAACTGTGACCATGTGTGCTGCTGGTTTAATGTCTTGTTGGAAGCAATACTAGTATCTTCCGCATCATACTCGTATACTCGTACAGCATACAATGAATCACACGTTGGATCGGCTGCGGCTTTTCAGTTGAATGCTACGGATTGATCATTAATTCTGCATTAAATGGCACAGAAAACATAAAAAACCATCTCATGAATACCTAATATGCAATTAATTTGCGCAAATCGTTTGTGCATAAAAGAGTATCTGGTATTTTTAAATGTTTTTAATGCCTGCCCTAATAGTTTTGCAATTGATTCTCACTGCCTGCCGTGCGGGCATGTTTAGTGTCGACTTTTATGCCCCAACATTTATGGTCTTTGTCTTTGGTTTCGAAACACACAACATGGATTACAATTTCGCCAGCCTTTGGGTAAACTCATCGGGGCCTCGTCGTTACGCTCACTTGCCTTTTGGCGCGATCGCACAATTTTGATTGGCAGCGCCATTTTCAATGCAACCGTCAACAATTTAATTGTGAATTTGCATTTAGGTTGCTGCAAACAACAGCAAATAGCAAAACAGTTAACATTTTCCTGGCTCTGGCAGAGAGTGGAAAGGCGCCCAATGTATGTAGTTTGGCCTGACTCTGACTTGTCTCGGGTTGACAGTTGCCATTGTCGTGTTTATTGTTGCTGTTGTTGCTGCTGCCGATGGTTCTGTGAATGGTTTTCATTACAATTGAAAGCGCAGGCCACACGGCTGATTTCTTAATTGTCGCTAAATACGGCCTGAGGCAGCCAGCAGCCAGCAGCCAACCGCCAAGAGCCAACAACACGGCCAGAGTAAACATTGTCTTAAGCAGCTAGCGTCGCACAGTGGTGCACATTTTTCCTGACTAAAAATCTTCCATAAAATCAGCTATTTTGTTTTAAAATGAAACCTTAAAAAATATATTAATAATACGTGGCTTTCCACGCTTACTTTGGATATTTACTTGTATGTCAACGATGTTTATTGTTTAATAAAGTCTAGAGATATAAATTTTTTTAATAATTTCTGCATTTATTTTTTTGTTCATCATCAGACGAAAATAGTCAAGTCTATTACGGTTTCTATCACATTTTTATTTGCTTGAATTAGGGAACTAGGCTCTCTCTCTTTCGCCTTAACTGCTTCTGATTTGATGCTAGCTTTATTTTAATAAATATACATATACTTTTTAAATAGGCACATGTTTTCATAATATGCTCCACTGTGCACTTCTTAGTCGTTTTATCGTCGATCATTTTGTTTGCAATGAGTTTTTGTGGTTTGTTGTGTGTACTACACACAATGTGTATGTATATGTGAAATAATTGTACACACACAGCAGAAAAGGAATTGTCAGGCCCAACAGCGACGACAAGACGATCATGGTGGTAATTTTGTCGGCTGGGGCTCTGGCTCTGGCTCGGGAACCTTATGCCCGATTGCTATGCCGGAGATGGTGGTGCTGTCGCGGCTGGTGGCTGCACATTTTGTACCACAGGAGCGGGCCCACATTTTAATTGCTTCAATTTTAATTTATTTTCATTTTCTCGTGCCGTGCACCGAGCACTTGAACGCACAACAGGCCGCTGTCGTATTTGCCATGCTTAGTTTAAATATTTGTTGAAATGTTTTCGGTTCGGGTATCACATTCTGTGTATGCCAACCCTGTATGCGTGTAATTGAGCTACCTGCATGAATTCTAGCCGCACGGCAATGAGGATAAAGATAAATGAATGTATTCGGGTCAAGGGTCAACTGTGACACACCCCCAATTGGAAGTTTCCGTGCCAGTTGTCGGAGGCACAATGCCGAACACGCATATCTTTTCTAATAACGTGTAGATGAGTTATTTGCCTAAATAGCGACCATCTTGCACAATCGAATGTATTATCGCATCCCGCGGACACGCCCCGAAGATTTAGTCGATCTTTATTCACCCACTCGTGGACTTTTTATGAAATCGAATTCGAAATCCCCGCTGCGTTCCAACACTTTCACTACCTTTACTATTTAAAACACTAATATAACTTATATTTAGTAATTTTGACTCATTTAATTTGCATTTAAATAATTTTCTATTTGCTTTTTAATAATTCAAACTCTCGGCGGCACAAAAAGCGGGGAGCGCTATTTGCTGGTCGACTGACTATCAACAATTTCTAATCTCTTGCTTCTCGTTGACATGAAAACGCAGTCTCAATGCGTTTTTTTAATCGTTCAGCTGTCACATAAACTCGACGTTTTATTTGACAATCGCGTTTGGCATACACAACACAAAACAATCGAAATGAACAGAAACTGAAAAGCTAAAAAAAAAACTAAAACTGAATCTGAATCTGAACAAGCAGCAACAACAACCAATTTCTTTCCGATAACACCAGCTGGAACTCACTGCTCTGCTGAGGGGTACAAGTATATTGACTATTTATCGACACCTCAAAGCCACTGGTGGCGTATACGCAATAATTGTACATACATACATATATCAGCCACTTTAGACGGCTTGCATGACAACGTACATCCACTCTCATACATACTATACTCGTATAAGTAGGTATGTAGTTGTGTATTTTGCTTGACCCTGCCTCTTTCAATAACTTACAAATATTTCCAAAAAAGACAGCTTTTGGCTTTATTATTAATTCAATTTGCTTGTGATTAGCTGCAGATCTGCCGCTTTTCAAATGTTAATTTCATATGCACATTTATCGGCTAATCTTTTGTTGCCAGGCATAATGATTTGTGGCTGGCTATTGTTGTTTTTTACAAAGCAAATTGCGAAATCCACTGTCTTTATGAAGGATGGGATATAATTACGAATAACTTAAGCTCAGATAGGAAACACCAAGTAACTAATAATTAGAAGCTTCACAAACGGCGGGAGACAAATTTATTTGTATACCCTTCATTGAAAAGAGTAAGGGCATATTGTTTGTTATGTGTTAGTTTGTTATTGGCACATACACATGATCACCATTCTGTGTGTACGTCCGACCTTCCGCCTGTTTCAATTACTTTGTCTCTTGCAGTTAAAGAGTTATCGCTATTAGACTTTGCATGTGTCTTGGAGGTTTCTTTTTGAAAAGACGCAGATAATTAATCAAGACCGACCATGTCAGATCACTATATCATATAGTTGTCATACAAATGCATATTTTTTTGGCATTATCTTAATGAAATAAAAGCAACAATAAATGGGCGGCGCAGACTTTTGTTCTTCTTCCCAATAGAAGTATTTCGTCGATGATATTATTTATAATACTATGACATACCAAATTGAGTTTTACGGCAATTTTGATGAGTTCTGTTGCGATTTGTGGGTCGATGGAAAAGTGCTTGGGAGTATATATAAGTTTCAAGATGTTTAACAAATAATGAAGGTATATATGATTAAAATACAACTTTGGACACTATTTATTCCCTGTTAACCTTTTTCGGGGCTTACAATTGTCAGCTAGAAAACGAGTAACAGGACGTGATTATCTTTTTGTCGTAAATTTTCAGTGAAGGATATTAAACGAAATCTATTTAGTTCCTTGAGGACTTATGTACACAGTTGATTGACTTATAGTGTGGACAATGAACAGAAACGGATGTGAAAATCCTACAATTTATTGCTCCGCGAAATCAATTTGATATCAAAATAAGCGGGATGGCAGTGCCGTTCCTAGGGACTGATCGCATAAATTATGAATTCGCCGCCCAGACGACGGCGATGTTTTGGGTAGGTGTTAGAAGCTTTTCGATCTCACATTTTTTTTATATCAAGAATTTATTGCGCCTTAAACACACACACACATTAATGGCCGGGCCATTAGTGATTTATTGTGGGATCCCATTTGATTGTATCGCAATTCCTCCTCTTCCCCAACTCCCGTGCACAGCCACTATACTCTTACCTTTGGCTGCTATTGAGCTTGACATTGAATATTACCGCCAAGCGCCATTGTCGGTCGACTTTAAAAATGGGTTGTCTGGTCTGTGACCAGCCGTGTGAATTCTGTTTTCGTTGCAACTTTCAAAGTAAAATAAAAACGCTGCAAATTAAGTCAAGGCTGCCATTGTGTTTGTTTTGTTCGTTTGTTTGTTTGTTTGTGAAAGAGTATGGCATTACTCATGAACTGTAGCCGGCAGATTGAATTACACATGGTGAGTGCATTAAAGTGCATTATATATGTTAGTATGTATGTATATGCTTCTGAACAATAAGATGTGGGTGAATGTTTGCTTGATATTATGTTCCATTCCAATGCCACAGGCCTTTATTATTCATTATACGAAACCTAAGCTCTTTGCCATAATTTACTGCACATGTAAATTGGATGCATATTTCGGTGAATAATGACTATATAGTTCTGCTGATCAGTTCATTTGACTTACAATTGTAATTTAACATTAAAAAATTGGGTCAAAAATTGTGTTCCGTGCTTCAAATATTTTAGAGAAAATAGAAAAAATATGTATCTGGCATTGTGTAAAAAATAATAATAAATTCTGCTGAAATTTGTTGTTAAATTAACAATTAATTTATAAAAAATCTCAATACACAATGATGATTGTGATCTTGATTTCCCTATTTCCCATTCAATTAATGTAGAATCTTAAAATATTTCCATTGAAGCAAAACTAAGCTTCGTTTTTTAATCGTCATAGAAGTCTTGGTTTGTTTGCCTTAGATCAAAGTTTTTGGCGATTCCATTTTTTTGCATCCAAGTTTTTGCCACCTCCTTAGCTTGCACATCCGTTTGCATTTCAAAAAGTAACCCAGATGGTGTTATCTTTGCCTGGACTAGATTGGGTCCAAGATGATAAAGTTCCAGCACGTTAAGTACCTCACGTGCATAGTCGACTGCAATTAGGTTGGGAAAACTGTTGCCGTCAGAACGACTTAAAAGTAGACGAGGACTGAACTGAACATCATTAAAATTTATTGGCGCAGAGGCAGCAACTGAAAAAGAATAGAGAGACCATTACATACATATGCCCTACTATGTGGCTTACAAGGAGGCTGGGAAGGACTTACACATGACTAACTGCCAACAAGTCAATGCACAAATCAGCGACACTTTCATTTCAAACTTTTCAGGCTTAACTGAACACGCGAACGGCAAGAAATCGACTGACAGCCCAACGGAGGCTGTTGCTATCAGCTATTTTTGAACTCTGACCTGGCTGTTATTAAAACGCAAGTAAAAAATTTCCTAAGAAAAAAGCTTCTCAGTAGATAAGTCTTTGAATTAAAGACGAACTTTGCAATATAATTACTAAGATGAATGAATGTTATTTCCAAAAAAAAAAAAAAAAACTTGGAATGTTTCCTATATTGACAGAGTTTTTAATTGTAGTATGTTCAACTAAAAACCTGTGCAGTTTTTTCTAAAATATAATTGTTGTCATAACTCTCCGATTGCTGCCATGCATTCAATACTTCTTCCGCCTGAAGAGGTGATCCCATTTCAAAGAGTAAATCTTTATTCATGTACTTGGCCTGCAACACTTCGTCTTGAAGGTGATAGAGCTCTAGATTAATCAGTAACATGCGAACACTATCCAGATCCACCAAGCCGTCGCTTAGCCTTCTGCCATTGGTGGACTTAAGGAGCAGCATGGTACTGAAACCATTATCAATTATTGGTGGCGCCTCAGTTATGAAACCTGAAATATTCACAGTTGTACGATGGACGTTTAGAGAAATTTCAGGACAGTAAAGCTTACACTCTGCTAACTGCCAGCATAATGCCACTAAAGAGAACGCTATAACTAGTCTCATCTCCTCTGATCACACGAACAGCACAAAATCGACTGATGTGTAACGAGAAGACTGATCTTCGCAAAAAAGAAACATTCTGTGCGCTAGAGCTTATCACTTTGAACACAACTCGGAGCTATTTTTAAGCAGAACTATGAACTCTGGAGTACGTTATCGCAACCTGATTTCTTGGGAAAGGTCATTAGCTTTAGAATTAAATCATATTTAATCACAATTGATTAATAAATTAAAATAATGATAGTAATTGTAAAAAGTTAAGCTTACATAGAAATCAAGTACGATGTTTCGGAATTGTGGAAAGCAATAATAAATAATAATATTTTAATTACGCTGATAAAAAAATAATAAAGAAAACAAATATCAAGAAAATTAAAAAATTAACCTTTGGCGTGAATCAAACCACATCCACATCATCACTTGTGATTTAATATCGTCATCACTTGTGACTTAATATCGTTAAATATTTTAATATTAAATTTAAAATTTAAGTGTGCACACTTCATATTTTTTAAAACACACGATGGTGCAAAATCGATGGTAAAAATAATTGAATCTACGTGTAAATATTGAAATTTCCGTAGTTTTTTTATAAGTGTATTTATTAAATATGGTTTTTTCTTTGTTTTAAGCTAGTTTAATATTAGTTTTGCCTTTTTAAGCAAAAATGTCTTAATTAAAAAAGACACAACTTTGCAGAAATAACTCCAAAAATATCCAGCAGCTTATAAATGTTCACACGTTCTGTACATGTGAAGTTACTCATACTACATATATGTATGTAAACGTTTGTAGGAGATAACAATTAAAGCAACTTACGAGTATATTGACAAATTTCTATAGGGAAGGAGAAGGGCAGGAACATACTGGTTAGAGTGGGCTCAGCCGTAAATGTAGGCATTCATCCAGACAGACGAACGGTCGAACTGCCTTTTAACGCAGGCTAATAATATTTTTTTTTTTTTTTTTGTTATATGCTCTTGAAAAACCATTGCTATATATTCTCTTTATAGTGTTCGGATGCAATTTCTATTAATATACCAAATTGATTCATTTTCAAAAAGTAAAACCATCATGCACCAGAGAACATTTTCATTCGCCATTTTTGAAACCGAAGAAATTAGACCTTCATTAGCCTTTGAAACAGGATTTGACTTGCCTTCTCCGAATTATACGCCATCCTTTAAGTTAAACAGCTGATGGTTCTGCTTATAAGTAACCTGATTAAAAACTTTATCTTGAACTCAATAGAAATGGCGCGGGCAATCGGAATTTTCTTTCACTTGCTTGGCTATGGGGTCTGGGTCCGAGCACAAGCAGGGGATTGTGCCGACTGAGTCGGCATAATGGAAATGCCTAAGCTCGGCCAGACGATCGCTTATCAATTGCTTTTGAAAGTTCTTGAGTGAGCCTCTGTACATTTTTCACGTCGTCGCCTCTTTGGTGCCATCTCCTCTGGATGGTATATGGACAAAAAAAAAACTTCCAGCTGTGTACGTTGATTGCCAGATGACACGATGCATTTCAATAAAAAAAATATATACATACTTGTATATGTATGTGTACGCTGTAATATTTTCTATTTGCTATTGTTTTTGTTATTCGGCCTACGCGCTCAGCGGTTATTGTTGTTAATCCCAGCAGAAATAGCAAGTGCTGTAAACAGTTTGGTCGCACACAACTTTATAGCAGCATAGCAGCATAACAACAGCAACAGCAACAGCTTTAAAAAAAACAACCACATTGATTTCCAATTAATTTTCGCCCCTTTTGTTTTGCTTTTCATTACAGATTCCAAGCGTTTTTCTATGGATTAAGGTGAATTTCATTTAAAGCGGCATACCGTGTTTGTTAATTTCTCCATATTTGCTGTTTTGTGTGCGTGCTGTGTGTGTGCGTGTGCGCGTGCCTGTGCCTGTGTAAGTGTGTTGTTGTCTTACCTTGATGGCGATCGCATTGCACAGAGGATAGGCGTCAATCATACGCAGCGTGGTGCAAGGCGAACAATTCGAAAAGGTGAGTTTGCATATTTATCTACGTACACACTATTTAGTATGGATATGTTTGCGCACATAATACAATTAATGGAAACTTATTGAAAAGTGAAATTCAAATTTCACAATTCCATTGCCCGTTCCAATATGACGCGAACAGACAAAGTACAAGTATATAACCATTGTGTACAATAATTACACACAACCAGCTCGGGTATTCGGCTCTGTGACAACTGATAAGAGCATTCAATAGGCATTTTGAGAGCTGCGGAGTAGCTTATCAGTGCTACATACATGCAGCACATCTCCCCTCTATGCCTGGCTTACCCAACAGGCACTCTTCTGTTCACTTAAATATCAGCAACATTTTTTTGTTGTGCTTGATTTTTTTTCACTTTTGCTGTCAATTTAGCTAAAAATAAATAATTACTGCATGATATCATTCCGCTCGTCGTTTGGCCAATTAAAAAAACCTGAACGGGCCGAGCGGCAACAAATATTTTTTTAAATTATGACTAGCGATAATCACAAGTTGTCACTGCTATATGCTGTTAAGAATACAGTACCTCTTTTTGCGACTTAATTTTTATATTTCGCCATATACTATTTGCATACATGTATGCTCTTAGTTTGTTCTAGTAATTAGCTGCTGCATCTTTGTACATTCGCTGTTCCCTCATGCGTGGCTCAAATTTCAAAACTACATGCACCTTACAACACTCCAAATATACACACCCATACGAGTACTATACCGTGGTCCCCAACTCAAATTCGCTGAGTTAACGAAGACAAATGCATATTAAAGTTTCAATAACAACTTCAACATAGTATCAACAAGAAATTTTGGGGTCTGTAATTAATAAACCTTAGTTTTTAAAACATTCCACTTAATCAAATAAAATTTATTGAAGATAAATTGACAATTTAAAAATTATGTTTATTTATGGAACTGGAAATTAAAAGAATGTTTATTGTTATTATTTGCTTGATTGTGCGTTGACCCACCTTTCAAATAGTATACATGCTACAATTAGCTAAGGTCTCTTAAATCGGATATATGGGAGCTATTTTTTCCGATACAAACTATGTTCAAAATTTAGGGAATTTAATTCATAAAACAGCATCAGTATTAACTTATGTGCTTTAACTGGCGGTTAAAAGGGGATACGGTATACCGCTAATTAAATTATATACCCCTTGTCCGTAATATATAATATTTTTTGAAGATTCTACATTAAAATATGATTGATGCGACAACATCAGCTAAAATTGGGTTTGAATAATTTTAAAATCAAAAGCTCAAAAACTTTGTAGACTTATTGTTTCAATGTCAGCTATATATAGTCAGACTGGGTCGGTTAGTTTCAACACAAGGAGCGAAGCAAAAAGATGATCGAATAGACGGACGCACAGATCTGGATTTGTTTAATAATACATACGTATAAACAATCATCATTATACGCTTATCTTTTTCAATGAAGGTTGTATAGACACACAGTTTATTTGTTTTCAGCTAATTTGATTAAATTAGTGATCAGTTGAAACTATTTATCTAGCTAGATTCGAGTGCCACACCACTGTGCGGTGGCTGGATAGACGCCTGGTTGGGTGTGAAAAGATTTATGTGCGTTGCAAACGGCAGTTATCAAGGCGCTGGCCCACAGCAGCCTCAGTATCGGCCTCAGTCTCTGTCTTAGTCTCGGCAGCTCCAGTGTGCCATTCACCCGGACAAACTGCAACTGGCAACTGCAACTGGCCTCTAGTACCAGTTCCAGCGGCTGCAGTCGCTGGTGGCATCTCGAGACATTTCATTGTGCTGCAAGCATTTTATTCATTTGATTCGTTGTGATTGTTTTTGTTGTTGTGGCTATGCCATTTTTTACTCGTTTTTATTTATGGCCTGCTCAGTTTTTTATAACTCTTCGATTTATATTGATTTGTAATGCACATAAAATGGCAACGAAAGCTTTTGGCCCAATGCATGCTGCCAATGCGGTTGACCTTGCCAGGATGGGCCGTAAATTAAGACCCAGCCGCAGAGTACTGCTTGGCCAAGACGAAGGTCGCGCTTGCAACCAAAGCTTAAAAAAACAAAGCCCAAGCCAAAAGCGAACAGCGGCTCCTATTACACAGTTCCACATTCACACACATGTTGTAAAATGCAACAAGTGCGACTGTGACTGCAACTGCGACTGCGCCTGCGACTGTCTCTTTTATTTGCTCATTTTATGTCGCATGACTGAGCTGGGCGCAACCTGTCAATGTGGCCGGCACGGCGGTAAGGCGGCCAGGTGCAGCTCAAGATTTGGTTTGCTGTCGTGTGACATAACTTGGGGCATGTAAGCAGTTTTTCTTTGGACCTTATCGCGGAGGCACGCCATGCTAGACATTTGAGACAACCACCTACAAGTGTTGCACCGGATAAGGGGATGGCGGGGGGAACGAAGCCCACTTACTTCGAAACACTTGCACATGCAAATATTTTACAAATTTGCGAGCAGAATTTATTGGAAAAGCAAAGGCGGGAAAATATCGAAATAATGCACACTGGTCCGGCCTGGACAAGAATTTTATAATAATTATTAAAATACTGTACACATCATTTTCTGAGAGAGCTGAGAGCCCAGAATATGAATATCATATCGTGATGACAGAAGCATGATTAAATTGAGTCAAAGTTATTATAAAATTTAAAAATTGTCTATACTAGGAGAGTTCTTAAATAAAGATTAAAGATTTTTAAAAAGTATATAAAAGTTGAAATAACTTTTTACTTCCTTTCAGATTCGATACAAATAATTAGACACATACATTATATTACTGTTGAATTTTTTATTCGTCACTAAAGATATATTGGAAACTTATGTACAGTTTACAAAAACAGTTCACATATATTTTATACCAAATGTACATTTTACTCTGATCGTTAAGTAAATAATTTGCGATGGTGGCCCAATGTTCAGTTTTTTTTTTAATTGCTGATTTTGTTTGTTTTTTATTTTAATCAAACTACGGTTAGTAAACGTTTAATGTTTTACTTATACATACATACGAGTATACTGAAAAATGTTCACGCTTTTTCGTGGTTATTTTTCACGAATTAATTGGAATTTATGCATGCAGTCAATGCTTATTAAAGTGTCCACAGAATTTTTAATTAACGAGCAGATGATGATGAAAATAATTATGAAAGACAAAAAAGTCGGCTACTAATTAATCGTCAGCTGTGTGCCACAAAATGTAATCCCAATTAAATTGAGCGAGAGGGTGGGGGAGGGGGCAACCAAACACTGACATATGCGTGGGCGTATGTTGGCATATTGGGTCACAGTTAGTTTTTAGCGATCCGATCCACGGCATGACTGTGCACTTTGAAGTAGGGACAAACACATATATAAAGACATACCGTGCCCATTCACATATTTCATTGAAAATTAAGCCAGTCGGGCAACGGGCGCTGATTAAAGGCGCTTTGGCTTATGCAGCCGATGCTGTTGCTTTCACCGAACAGGCCCCATATGGGTCACCTTTCGCCATACGAATGGAAATAGGAACAGGGCCGGCAGATTTATAATATACTTACAGATATAGTAGAGCTGCCGCTGCTGTCTCAGTTCTCTAGCATTTGGCCGCTGACCTAATAGCAAAGTTCCGGGTAGACAAATTTCTAACTCGTTTTCAGATACTTAGCAAAGTGTAGGTGTTTGACCCTCAAAATGTGAATTTGTTCCTTCTTTGTTTATTTATGTTAATTTTGTTGCCACACAAGTTCTTGTATAATTAGTTAGCATCGATTTTCGTTTTTCTTGGCTGCTCTCTCAATCAATTTTTATACGTTTGTCTCTTTGTATGGGTATACGAGTAGTAAATTAATCAATTCTCATGTCTGTCAAGCTGATGCTGAAGAGTTTGGATTTTTTAAGCATTTCTTTTTCTGCTTCTTTTGTGATTGTGTGGGGCGCGCGCGCAAAAAAAAAAAACAACCAACAGCAACAATTTAATTATAACAACAAACATCAAACGGCAAAAGCTACGAATACAACAACAACTACAACAAGAGAAAAACAGCTCGTATCTGAAATTGATATCGTGACTTTGTGTAATTTGTAATTTACGATGAGATCACTTCCTTCCAACAATGTATCAAGCGCCGCATTGTGCTATTTTCATCAGCTTGTTCCAAGCTCCAAACACTCACCATATATACATACTTACTTGTATACTATATACTATATATGTATAAATGTATGTACATACATACGTCAATTCGTCGCTGTAGATTCGCTGCATCTGCATCTCGCTTAGCTGAGCAGTGACAAGATAAGCGTCGTCATCATGGAAACTGAAGCTGGAGAGCTGTTATTGGCTTGTGCGCATTGCCAGCCACCGACAACGTCCTGCGATCCACAAAAAAACAACAACAGATGTAGCAGCGCAAAAAGTTCAAGTGGCTGAAGACAACTGCACAAATTTGCATTTGCATCAAAGTTGGCATTGAAAAAAGCATGTACGAATACTAGTATCCACTCCCCCTCCCTAGTCTCCCATAACTTGTGCTCTGCATGACTCCAGTTGAATTTACTTTGTGCTGCTTGTGCATCAGGCTTGTGGTTTGCAAATTGCATAAATTAAATTTAGCATTCGGCTTTGGCAGCGCACAAATAAATTCCCAATTCGCAATTGAAATGAAAGCAAAACGTAACGAATTCAAATCAAAGTCTTTCCGAGTGCTGCGCTCTCAAAATATTCCAAGCGATAGGCACTGAAGTTGATTGGCTAACGAAAATTAAATTGCATTCGAAGTCGATCATTTAAACAATTTCATTTAATCGCCCGTAGTCCGCTTTGAAGCTAATTTCTCATATAATCCATCACATATTCTTAAAATAATTGAAAGAATACATTTTAAATTCGACCAGCTGTAGAAGCAGCCCCAAGAAAAATAGTGTAATTTTTATGACGCTTTCATATACTTTTATTATTATTATTGTTTCATATATAAAATGATTAGGAATATCAAAT